TGTCTCGTTGTCCGGTGGAGCGTGTGGAGTGCTCACGACAATGGATGATTTGGCAGATAAATACACCCCCCACTTCCTCAAATCCAGCCCAAATCTTTTTGCAAATAAAAAAGAGATTGCTTCATTATCAATGATGTCCACATGTGGGTTTTCTTCTGGCCGTAAACAAAGAAAATGAAGTCAGAGACAACGTGGCCTTGCCTTTGTCGCTTTGTTAATTATCTCTTGCCTCATCTTTTTTTATTACCACAACATGTGTCGCGTGGCCGGCACGGGACTACTTCGACGACTAATAAAAAAAAAGAGGCCACTTTTCTAAAGGAAGAAAGGTAACCTTCTTTTGGTCCCATTTTGTACATTTTATCTAATGAATCATAACATTACATTATTAATGTCTGGACATTTTCTATGTCTTCGAGATGGGTTTTAAAATAAGATTCCCAAACTCTTAATTATGATAAATAGGTACAACAAATTTTCTTATTTTTATAATTATATATATATTAATTTTTAAAAATATATTCAATACATCAAAGAGTTAAGCAAGTTTAAGTATTGTAAAAGTTTAAGCACTAATCTCAGACTTAGAATTTGAAATTAATAAGTATTTACTAGATTGTTAATCAAAAGATAATAATTACTGGATATAAGTTCTCATTAATTATTTTTTTTCCCAATTTTCACTAAAATCTATTTGTGAAGGGAAGGCTATTGCCTATTGCTTCACTTTCATAAATCCAACCAAATGTTGTGCGATGGTGGGATAAATAATAAGTCTCTAAATAATCCTTCTTAAGTCCATCAAAATTTAAGAAATAAATTTAATAACCAATTAAAAGTACTTTACTATTTTAAAGAAAAGTACTTGACTTTTAACAAAAAGAAAAAGGAAAAACAAAATTTCTTTCTTTAAATACCAAAGTATTAACAATAAAAATATATCTTCTTTAAATATAAATTATAATTTTTATTATATTTAATATGTGTTGATCAATTAATGTAGACTTATAATATAAAGAATCACTAAACTAAATTACAAATTAAACAAAATTTATATTAAGTTTGTTTAAATCAGCATAGAATAGAACTCGAAATCAGAGCTTCAAGTTTGTTGGGTGCGCTAAATTTGTAAAAGCTTTATATTCATTTTCTTGTCTGTCATAATTAATTATTAAAAATATATATATATATTAATTTTAACTCTTAAAAAAATTAAAATTTTAATATTAAATTATTTTATTTTATTTAATTAACCTCTTTATTTTCTACAACAAGGACCACGAGATCTCTGGTTTTCAAGAACCAAAGATCTGTTCTCTATTTATTCCCTTCAAAAACGCAACCTCCCCTCTCTTAATTTTTGTCATTTTCCCCTCAAAATCCTTGCAGGTCCCTTTAATTTCTTGCTAAATTTACAGATCTTTTGATATCTTTCCCTTGTGGGCAACCCTGTTGCAGCCCTCTAAAAGTGAATTCCATGAGGGGTTGGAAATTTGCAAACGAGGTGAGACTAGGAATCGAATTTTAATTAAATAAAAAAATGTAATTTAAGATTAAAATGTTAATGTTTTTTTAAGTTAAAATTAATATATAATATTCTCATTATATAATTTAAGTTCAATTATGCAAATAAAAGAAAGAAAGAAAAAAAAAAAACCGAAGTGAATTGTGAAGATTATATAGGTGCTTGCATGACTCACATAAATTAAAAGATTGTGGACGAAATTTAACCTTGAATAAAAATTGTGAGGAGCACCCATGCAACTTATCCCTAGTTTATATAACAAATTCCGGCTAGATGAATTGTGGTTTGGGCAGGCTAGCCAATTTGTTCTTAAACTTGACCGGATTTCTCCTAATCCTTCGGACATGAAATCCAGCTCCGCTCCGTCGGAACTTGACAAAGGCCATTATTACCATCTCCCTTCTGCTTCCGATCGCCAAAATGAGACAAGACAAGTAAAAAACAAGTCAACGACGTCGGAAGCGGCCTCTGTTGGCCGGAGAAATCCCCGTATCAACAAATATGTTCTCGCCGCTGCTGTTCTTGCCTCCACAAATTCAATCCTTCTTGGTTATGGTGAGATTTCTTTCCTTTGTTTTACAACGAATGACAATCTGCAAATCTGGTGTTGAAATTTTTGCACCGACTGGATTTTTTTTCAGATATTGGGGTGATGAGTGGAGCGGTGCTTTACATTAGGGACAATCTGGAAATCACAGCAACCCAAGTCGAGATCTTGGTAGGATGCTTAAACGTTTGTTCTCTTATCGGCTCACTTGCCTCCGGCAAGACTTCCGATTGTATTGGCCGGCGATACACTATTGTCCTGGCAGCGGCTACGTTTCTGATTGGGGCGCTTCTTATGGGTCTTGCGCCGTCTTTCCCTTTTCTCATGGCCGGTAGGGTGGTCGCAGGAATTGGCGTTGGCTACTCCCTCATGATCGGCCCTGTATACACCGCCGAGCTCTCCCCCGCTCTGTCTCGGGGATTTCTCTCTTCTCTCCCCGAAGTCTTCATCAACATCGGAATCCTCCTTGGTTACATCTCTAATTATGCCTTATCAAGTCTCCCAGAGAACATTAATTGGAGACTAATGTTGGGATTAGCAGCGTTCCCAGCTGTCGCCGTCGCTGTCGGTGTAGTTGTAATGCCAGAGTCCCCACGTTGGCTTGTAATGAAAGGCCGATTTCTTGAGGCAGAGCAAGTTCTGATCAAGACATCTGACGGTGGCGCAGAGGAAGCCAAACTGAGATTAAACGAGATGGCGAAGGCGGCTTCTTATGTCGGACAAGAACCACCATCAACCTCCAACTGGCGCGGCGAAGGCGTGTGGAAAGAGTTGTTACTCCACCCATCGCCACCAATCCGGCGAGTTCTCATCGCTGCTATTGGCGTCAACTTCTTCATGCAAGCCTCCGGAAACGATGCGGTCGTATATTACAGCCCCGAGGTGTTCAAAGACGCCGGAATTCACAACCGGAAACAGCTAGTCGGAGTCACAATCATCATGGGACTCGGCAAGACCTTTTTCGGGTTGATTTCGGCTCTGTTTCTGGATCGGTTTGGGCGGCGGCCGATGCTGTTATTGGGCTCGACCGGGATGACCGTTTCATTGGCTGCTTTGGGCCTGTGCTCTCTCTATCTCCAGAAGTCCAATACCAAACCAGTTTGGGCCATTGCAGTGTGCATAGTGGGTATCTGTGCCGATGTTTCTTTCTTCTCAATTGGGCTTGGGCCTGTTACATGGGTCTATTCATCCGAAATATTTCCGATGAGGCTTCGGGCCCAAGGATCCAGCCTGGCCATATCGGTGAACCGGGTTGTGAGTGGGATAGTGGCCATGACATTTTTAAGTGTCTCAGAAGCAATAACGTTTGGGGGAATGTTTTTTGTTCTTGCTGGAATCATGGCAATGGGTACTATTTTCTTCTACTGCTTTTTGCCTGAGACGAAGGGTAAGAGCTTAGAAGAAATTGAGATTCTTTTCGAGGATAAACTACCTCGAAACACTGGAGAAATTCTTCACTCCTAGGACCATAGTACCATTACAGGTTTTGAGTGCAGTTGCTTTCTCTGCCCACGCAATACAACCTTTGGAATGCATTATGCACACATTGCTTGCTAGTTGAGAAAGAAACTCAAATGTTGGATGCTTTTTGGTTAAGAAATGTATAAACTTTTATATATCAAAAAATTGTATTGCAGTTAGTATTTTACTAAACTACAAAACAATTACTTTTTGAAGTAAATGAGGACTCTTAATATTAGATCCTTCTTCCCCATCTAATGATTCTTGTTTTGTAATCTGGTAAAATCCAGACTACAAAACAAGGGACCCTTTATATATGTAACTTTATATTATAGGGTGAGAAAACTCAAATCATAGATTTTCTGTAATCTTAGTAAAGTCCTTGACCTCTTAGAGGGAGGCTTTATTTGCAAGAGAAGTTCAAACTTTAGTTATAAGTGAAGTTTGAATGTTGGTAATTAACGAGGAATTTCATTAGTTAATTAAAGTCCATGGCTGAGCAACTGAAGTCTTCTAAATTTTTATCAATGTCTAAAATGATTAAGTTAGTGCATCCAATGAATAAACGTCGTAAATTAGTTTTAAACTAACCAATGGATTTATTAAGTCTCTGATTGTTTGAGTTTTAAGAATAGCTAATACTAATAGTGTAGTTGTTAACCGATAGAATACTCGATATTTATTATTTAAAAGTTTTAATGTTAAGTAAGAAGTGCAGCTTGAATGTTGGCAACAATGAATTTCATTAGTTAGAGTAAATGTTGAGCAATTGAAGTGTTCTAAATTTTTCGTAATGACTATGGTTCTATTTAGTGTGGTTGTGCTTTAGGTTTTAAGTTTTGGTTTTTATAAATTTTGTGATTATTAAAAACCAAAATTAAAAGTCAAAACCTAACAATTTGTTTAAAACAAATTTTAACACTAATAATTAAAAAATATGAACTTATTTAATAGTATTACAATCATTTTTATTCTTATCTCTTTAATAGTTATAATAATATGCCACAAAAACAAATAAAACTAAACAAATTTTTGTTTAAACTTGCAAAATTTATAAAAATCAAAATCAAAAACTACAAATCACAATTATATTTAAAGGAGGCTAAAATATTAAGTCAATACTCCCAATGAATTTGAAAGTGGACAATTGGATTTATATTGACCAATGGATTCATTAAGTTTTTATTTGATTTAATTGTTAAAAATAATTGATAAATATAATTAATAAAACTATTAATATTAACTATTTGACAACTTAAAATTAACTTATAGGGAGACTATAATTATCTATTTAAAGAGAGAGAGAGAGAGAGAGAGAGAGAAAAAACTACGACCAATAAAATTAGCTAAACCCGACATACTCTAAGCGATTTCCGTTGCTCATGGTCATTGAAAGTTTTCAGTTTTTCTTTTGATGGTCCATGCCCAACTCCCATGGTCTGTTTGGTCGGAAGCAATTCTTTTGAGAAAGGATTTTTTTTATTTTTTTTAAATGTTGGGATTGAAACTCAAACCTCACGCTTCCAATAGCATGAGAAGATCTTTACAAAGAGTTAGTATCCATTTTACCACAAGGCCATTTTCCTTATGAGAAAGTTTTTATTAGAAGAGTAAATAAAAATATATTATATGAAAAGATTTTCTATTGTATAAAAAGTTGATTAGTTTTGAAATGAAATTTTATTGAAATTTTATTAAGTTGTTAATTTTTTTGTTTCACATAATGAAAGTTAGGGAAAAAAATTTTCTTCAAAAAGTATGAAGAAAATTTATTAGTTGAGAATTATGTTAAGAAAAATAAAAGTTAAAAATTTATTTTTATTATCTTTTTATTGTAATATTAAGGTATAAAAATATATAAATAACTTTATAAGTGAGAGTGATGAGGGAAAACTTCCCTTCCAACCAAACAAGCCCCAAAAGTTTTGTATCATTCAAATTAAAGTTCTAGTATTTTTTTTCAAGTACTGAATAAAACCAAGTCATGACTGCCATAGTAGACTTCTCCTGCATAAACAAGAGGTCAAAAAGAGGCCCATATCTAAAGGAAAATAGAAGATAATTAACAACACTAGGCCTTATAAACTAGTTATTAAATACATTTAATACTTTAATAATAATCAAAATTTGATTCATGAGACTGACATGTCAATTAAAATTTTTCATCTCCTACTCTCCATTTGTATCTGTTAAAAGAAAAATGATAATTAACAATGCAAGACTTAGACAAACATTTCGCATAATAGGTGTTTACACCATAAATTACAATTTTTTAAGTGATGCCACATGTTAATGAATAAGATGAGGTCATATTAGATTTATTGTTGAGATTTAGATTTGGAAAAATTGATTTTGGAGAACAATGAAGGTATCTGGTTAGTTGCAGTTTAAATTCAAAATTCCTATAATTTAGGAGGAAGTGCAGTTGAGGGGTTGACATAGTGGTAGAATGGTACAAGTGGCAAGATCTAATGCAGCATTGATCTAATCCTATTGATGTGTTCATTTTCTTTGAGAAATTATCCATTTTCTATAACCAATGGGTGAAGCGGCAGCACAATTCACAAGAAGCATATAAAAACAAGCTTTCAAATTTTTCAACATATAACAGCTAGTCCTACACAAAACTCATCAAACTTTCAATTCTTTAGTTTTGTAGTGATTGCCCACCTTAACTTATAGATTTCAATTTTAGCACAGATTCCAATAGATTTAGGTTGTTTTTAGCATTCAAGTAGCCAAATTAGTTTGTGTAATTGCTTCTTTGATTTCTTTTTGTGCAATGAACATCAAGTTTACTCTAATTTATATGTCATTCAGTTTATTTAAGATCTATTAACTTTAAATTCACCATATTGATAAAGTCCTTGTAATTGTTCAAAGCAGATTAAGAACCTATTTTACAGAAAGGCATTTCTTGCTCTTGCAAATCATTTGAAGGGTATAGAACTCAATTTAAAACCAATGTTCTTCCAACCATCCTAATGGAGGTCGATCGTATAAAATGAGAGAGTTGTTGAAAAAAATCCCTTTTTTCTTGCTTTTTAGAAAAGTAAATAACATACCTGTATACAAATTTACCTGTGTGAAGCCACTTGAAGGTTTATTAGGAAACAACGGGCCTTGGCAATTTAACACGCAAAGGGCCACTGCATATACAAATGGTGTTTTCCCAGTTGTGTCGTTTAACCCCACTTCGAATTAATTACAAACCAAACACAAAAAATCAAAGTCCAAATTGGAAGTTGAAACTGACAGAAGAAACAAGGCGCAGTTGGTGTCTCATAAACTTGGCTACATAGCTTGTTCCGGACCGCTTGTCTTATACAGAAGATACATAGTACTCCGTCTCTTCTTGTCGGTGAAACAAGAAAAAAAAAAAAAATTAAGGACTCTGATTGTTATAAGGTAAGTGAGGCCAAAATGCAAGAAGACAATTGCATGCGCACATGACAAAAGTTGACAGAAAAACAGCTAGCTTATATGGGGAAAGTCATAAGCTCCAAAATCAAAAAGGGAAACAAAAAAAATGAGATTTTCAGAGCCTTTGGTACGTAATCATGACCAAAGCAAATTAAGGTCAAGTTTCCTCTTGTCATTGAGCTGATCAACTCGAATTCATGAATAGATATGTATGATTGAAAAGCCTTAATCCAACAAGCCTAAACTGTCTGTGAGCCCTCGCCTCCTTTTTAGTGCTAACTTCATATATGAAAATAATTACATTGAATTCGATTAATTTAGAGTCAAGTTGCATTAGAACCCATAAAAAAAAAATTCTCTCAACACTTGTTTTTCTATTCATAAGATCCAAACTCAAACTTTACTTAAAAGAAATTAAATTCTTTCTATTCAAACTAATAGATCATTGGTAGCTCTTGCCTCTTATGTAGGCTGCGTTGTGTATTTCAAGTAAAGGGTGAGTTGTCCTCTTTTGGTTTGGTTTTTAGTCCTTGGAAGCATCCTAATCTGGTAGATACGACTGAAGTAAGAGTATCTTTGGGCTTATGATTTCTGCAGCAAAGACATAAATTCAATGTGTTTTTCATGAATTAGGTGGAATTGATTTTTTTTTTAATTTTTTAAATGTATAAGTTGCACGATAAAAGACAATTATATTCTTTATTCCTTTGTCCTATTCACTCATATATTTGTGATTTTAGAAATTCATAGAAAAATTATTAATTGTAGCTTAAGCATACAGATAATTGCTAGAATTCAGGCCAACATTAACATGATTTTTATCATTATTTTTTTACATTAGAAGATTAATTAATTAGTTTCTTCAACTTTTGTAGGAATTCAAATTTAAATAACCGTGATTTTGAAACTAGTATCCAACTAATTAGACTAATTAAGCTTTAGACTTTAGTTGACTTATTCTTAGTTTTTATTTGTTGAAATAGAGAGGTGTACTCACTAAAGTTCAAATTCTTTGTGTAACCAAAATCTTTAGACCAGTTTTTGTCAACTAATGTAACAATTGGAGCCAGACACCAGCATATGACAAAAAAGCAAAACTTTACATAGATTAAAACATGCAAAAAGGCTGCAACATCATAAAGTACTATTACTTACCATTAAATGTGTGAATGGTGGCAATATATATACATATATATATATATATATATATGAACATTTGGGAATTTTGGGGGAAGGAAAAATTTTTACAAAGCAGCGACTCAAATCATGTTAAGAATCATGGTTTGTGGATGTCCTTTCCAACACAGCTGACGCTTCAAGTGGGGGGTTGACAATATACTACTCCTTTGTCCTCCATTTTAATCTAACATTTCAAAATGCTCACCTCCTTTATTAATTTCTTACTCCTTTTTTTTTTTTCCTCTTTACCAATATGAAACCTTGTATGCGTTGCAAGCAGTAGGTATTTCGGTAAACAAGTATAGGAACTGCCAAATTAATTTCCCCGACTGCTCCAAAAGCTATTTATGTGTCTTTCCCAAGCATATTTCCAAAGGTGGTTGAGTTACCCTTTGCAACAAGAATAATGCCTATATGTTGGAGGCAATTTATTGCTCCTGCCGACACAACATATAACAAAGTTATTGAAGAGAGTTCCTGAAACCTATATCTCTCCTACAATCACAATGCAGTATTATTTGTTGACCCACATTTATGTGTAAAACAGCTGTTCTGAATTCTTGTTTTGCCTCTATATATCTAGAATAAGGAAAAGAGCCTGTCATGATTATTTATAATTAATTACCTAGTAAGCACCATTTTTTTTGTCTCTTTCTAAAGTTTAAAAAACTTGTTGAAGAAATAAAAATAATGTAATTATAATATTATATAATATTATAAATTTATAATTATAACATATCATCGTATGATGTTTTTTCTATCTCAAAATAATAGATGTTTTTTTACTTTTAATAATTTTTATTTTTACCTATGTTACCCTTTAACAAATAAAATAAAAGATTTTTGCTTATATGATAGATAAGTTAAGAGATATTTATGAGGTTAAACTAAAGAAAAAAAATTTTTATCTCTTTTAAAATATGAAATAAGGACTATTATTCTGAAACAAATTCCAAAAAAAAAAAAAATCTATTATTTTAGAATAAAAGAAGTAAACTCTTTTCATATAGGGGTTCATGATATCATATGTAATAACTCATTTAATGACACATCATTATTATGTAAGCTTACAATCTTATGTAAAATTATAATTATATCTTTTTTTAGTCACATTATAACTATATTATTGTCGTTAAATCAATACTTTTAAAAAAATAATATAATTACAATTTTATATGATATTATAAACTTATAATCGTAAGGTTTCAATATTTTGTAATTAACTCATTTTATTTAAAAATTATCTATAATATTAATGTATTCATTTATTTAATTATATATTATAGTTGTAAATTTACAATCTTATATAACATTGTAAATATATTATTACCATACTTTTTGTTTTTTCTCTTTAAACACATGTAATCAAGAAAATAATCATGCATGGGATTATGATGTTCAAAACCAGGACCAATATTCCATCATATTTGGGATTGATGTTCTATTCATAATTTAACATCATGAATTGCTTTATCATGACTATCCCTAACTAATATGGGAAATGATAGAGTTATTTCCTATACTTTGCAGTTAAAAAAATGCCAAAAAGATAGAGATAATGTTTTTTTCTTTTTCTTTTTCTTTTTTTAATGCAAATCTATACATATAACATCACATTTGTGATTAATTGCTTTTATTCGTGAGAAGCATAAATTAATTTTATCATTAAAAATTACATGAGTTTTAAAAAACTCAATTCAACTTCTAATTAATTGCCATCATCTTGGCTAACAAGACTTTGTACTCCAATTGATACAAATGGATCATTTTACTCTCTTAGTATAAAGAGAATTAAAACCCCAATCAGACGGCTGTTATATTAAGATTGAAAAAAAAAAGTACAAAACCTTTGGATAATTTCAAAATAACAATTTTTTAACAAAAGTTGTTACGACTTTATAAACATAAACAAATAAAGTCGATTTCTAATGGAAAAAAGTCATCTCCTCAATCCAAGAAGTCACTGTAATTGTGGACAAAGATGAGAACAAAAACTGCCGAAGTAATCAGCGAACACTCATTAATTCATCATTCAAATCACTTCCACTTTATGTGTCTCATTTATTTTAACCAACCCTCTCCTTCCCTCCGACCCTATCTCTCCTCCTTCATCCCACCTCTTCCATGGAGAACCGTTTCAAATTGCGAATCTCTCGCTTGTTTCGTTTCTCTTTTGGTTCTTGCAACATCCGAAGCGTACCAGATTCCATTGATAAAGTCGTTTTTTCCCCTCAGAAACAGAAAGAGCTCCAAATAATGGAGCCATTGCTATTGTCTCCCAAGGCTCGACCTTTCCCCTCCATTTGCAGGAAAACAGCTCAAACCATCAACCACGATATGATTGCACCCAGAGAGACTCACCCGAGTCGGAGAGGGTTGGCTCGATACCCCACTTTCTTTATGTCGACACCCAATGTTGAGGGACTCAAGTGCCCTCCTGTTTCCCCTGTTTCGCATTTCAATCCATTTTCTGACTGTAAAAATTTCGGCTTTTATGAGACAAAGAAAAATTTAGTCAGAAAGAAGAAGAACAAGAACAAGAAGACTATGACTAGATCGTCTTCTCTATACAGTGCGAGTCATAATGGTGGATGTTGGTATAGCAGCGAAGATGGAACAGAGACTCTGTTTTCTTCAAGGAGCACTTTTTCTTCACATTCATCACAGCCTCGCCGCCGCCGGCGACATTGTCGACGACCCAGATACCGCCTTCCTGCGAAAGGCGAGATGGGGTATTTTCCGGTGGAAGGAAGGAGCAAAGTGAAAGATAGCTTTGCGGTGGTGAAGAGGTCAAGCGATCCGTATAATGATTTTATGACGTCGATGGTGGAGATGATTGTGGAGAGACAGATGTTTGCGGCGAAGGATCTGGAACAGCTGTTGCAATGTTTCCTGTCGCTTAACTCGCATCATCATCACTCAACCATCGTCGAGGTTTTTGCAGAGATTTTGGAGGCCCTGTCTTCTTCAAGGTCTTGAAAATGGTATAAAAGTGTAAAACTGTCTGTTCTTTTGAAGTCCTGTTTCATAATTTTAGTTTCTGTTGTTGATTATGAAATACTGTAGTTTAGAGTTTCTGACTATGAACTAATTATGGAATTTCATGGTGTTCAAAAGAAAATTTGAACTAATTAATTAACTTTGTTAAAGAAAATGATATCGAAACTATTTTTTTATTTAATTTTTTATATAATTTTTAAAAGTTATTAAATAAATAAATATATTTAATATTATATATTTTAAATAAATAAAAAAATTCAATCATTGAAACAATACATAAAATTATAAAAAAATAACATAAAAATATTGTTCCAAAATCATTTTTTGTAAGTTAACGAAGAAATCTTTGACTTTTTCTTCTTGTCTTTGGTATCGTTTTTTTTTTTTTGTTTGAACAAGGACAATTAGGGGGAAATAGGAAAATGAACCAACTAATGGACCGAGGAAGCACCAATGACCTGTTGGTCAAGTGTCAATATTCAAATAATTTATAAGACTTAAATTTTTAATCAATCGATCTTACTCAAGTACTAATATTTAAATATTAACCATTAAATCCCGAAGGCCCGAAGTGCCAGTTCGGTCTTTGGTACAGTTTGAGACTTACTTCTTTGTTTTTGCTTTTGTTTTGCACTTCTGCTGTCTATAGATTAGAGGCTGCTGGTTTTGAAAAATCTGTGGCATTTATTTCCTTTTTTTTCTTTCTTCGCAAAACTAGTATTGTTAGGGAGGCAAAACTCCATAGAATACTTTTTTGAGCAAAATATTCAACTATTTTTAACAATAGAATAAAAATGTTATTCATTTAGAGTCATATTTTTTTATAATTTAAATTGAATTAAATTACAAAATAAAAATTTTTCTCTTTATTTAATAATTTAAATTATGTAATATGATGTAATGCCAACTGTCCAACACATTTTCATTTTATTTATATCTGAAATCATAGACCCAAAGTGCAATAGGACCAACTCACTCTATAATAAGCCTGGATAAAATCACTTGCATTAAAAATCTGGGGCGCTGTTCAAAAAAAAAAAAAAATGTAGGGCAAATTGCACCTACACCCCTTGTGGTGTAGGGGCACTCAACCACTTAATCACAAAAATTAGCACTTAACCCGAGTATTTTTGATATTTCCCTTTCGATATTAATAAGCTTGGGGGTTTAAGGGCCTAGTCTGCTAACCATGCAAGGGTCAAGAGAACATATATATGAGCTAAAGGTTAAGTGCACATTGTGAAAACATGAGCGTTAAGTTCACAGTGTGAAACCATATTGGGATAAGTGCAAATTGCCTTAAAATTTATAACCTAAATAGGTCCATTTTATAGAAATCACCATCAAGGAAATACGCAAGCAGAATAGATAATAAATCAAAATAGTAGGAAAGAAGAAAACCAATTTGAAAAAACCATATAGAAAGATCTTGAAAGAAATCTATTAGTTAAAAGAGTTATAATAATTTAATTTAAAAATTCATTTTCACAAAGTTTTTATACTTTATTTTTATAGAAATTCCTAGACTTTTCTTAAAAATTTGTCAAATTTTCTCTCAATCTCTCTATCTTTTTCTCTCACCCACTTTAAAATCATTTCAAGACTCTCAACACTTTAATTAAATAAAGAAAACTCACTTAAAAGAAGTAGAGACACTCTCTCTTTCTTCATCTAATGCAGGGTTAGATCTCACTTGATATATATTAAGGTTGTTAATAACACATTTATAATAGACCACAACACTGTCAACAAAGTTAATGACCAGCACGTCCATGTACATTGGGAGCCTAGACAATATGCCAATTGGGTAAGAAGATTAGCAGTTGATTCTGGGAAAACAAACTGGAGCACCCACCAGCGGCAAATCCTCATCCATAAGGAGAAGGCTCTTTTACAATGCAGGAAACGTGATCAACATCTTCTTGGGAGCTACCGTAGAAGAGACATATGGGAGAGACATTGATGCCCCTGGACATGAGATTGACCTTTGTTGGAAGCCTATTAAGGAAAAATCGCCAGGCAAACACACTCACTTTTGTTGGAGATAGCTCAGTCCAAATGAGATTACATAAGCTGATATTAAGGCATTCATGATAAGGTCCTGCAAGAAAGTTATATCCCTCCTTTGCTGAATAACCTACAAAGCTATGTATCCAGTGCACCAGGTCAGTGATTCTGTTGTGCAGTTGCACCTTTAGATGGATTTCTTCAAGATGGCTAAGCTCCTCTAGTGTTCTGCCCACCGGAGCTCTACGCCAAGCAAGATGCCATTAATTAGCTCACATCCTCAATTTTCCACCTAAAGCCAGCTTTGAAGCAGAGATGAGTTCTATCACTGATACTACTAATAGGTAAGATATCTTTCTAGCCAGTAGAAATTCTTGAAGAACAAACACTTTCAATCGAAGAGGTTTAGGAATTACCATAGCATTTAATAAGAATAATTTTCTTCCTAAGGCTATCATTTTCCTCACCATCATAAAACCTCTCCCACCACTTGCCAAGTAAAGCTAAATTCCTAAGAAATAAATTAGGGACACCGAGACCTCCTTCTTTTTCCCAAGACAATCCCTTTCCCAATTTACCCACACAATTTTGTTTTGGTTATCTAAACTCCTCCAAACATTTCTCATCAGTTGCAAACACTGCAACTGCTGAGTTAAACATAATTTTTTTTAGAAGTGTTTATTACTAATAACTGATTTAAGGTTTCAGCGGGTTATAAAACTACAAATGTATTATAACTTAGTAAAATTTTGCTGTAAAATTATGAATTTAATGAATTTTAACAAAATTATTTGAATGTTCTTCTATCTATTTCGTATTCATATTCTATTTAACATTTCTACAATTTCTTTTATGTATATTTTGACAGAAGTAATACTTAAATTAAACAGAGTCTGAATCATAAATGGAGCAAGTCTCATTATCCATATCAGGCCCATTTTTCTGAATTATTTTCATGACTTCTTATTCAAAAGAAAAAGAATTGAAGATACAGTAGCCATATAAGGGGTTAATTAATTTGAAAATAATAATTTTTAAAAAATATATTCTGAAATATACTAAATTAAAAGGTATACATATCAATGCCAATAATAGGAAAAAAAAAAAAAAAGAGATTTAGACATCGGTTTCCAAAATTGAAAAGACATAATGGAATGAGAAAGCTGAAACAATGTGAAGTAAAAATTCAATTTATTTTCCCCTTTTTGGGGACTGGGGAGTATTGATTTTGTTGGGTCTTCGGGGACTTCGATAGCTACATAACCTTTGGAATGCATGGATTTGATTTCCTTTCGTTTTCTCCTTTATTGTTTTTGCATGAGGAACATAAGATGAATAAACACAATAAAGGACACGTTTCAAAAAAAAAAAAAAAAACACAATAAAGGACAAATTGGGTTCTGAATTCTTGTGATGATGAATTAATGAGAGAGAATTACCGTATCATTTCTTACTCCAATTAATTTAAAAATTAAGTACATGGAATTTTTACGTCATTGTGATGACAGTGCTAGGATGTACAATTTCCCTCGTGGCCCACAGGCTCTGCGAGATCCTTATCATGGTATTTTAGAGGAAATTTTTTTTTTTTGTAAAATTTTTAGACAATAATAAGTGTACTTTTGTAAATATATTTTTTAATATACTTAATAAAAAGTTATTATTTCTAAATTTAAATTTAAAACAAAAAAAATTATTATAAATTTTTAATAAAACCAAAAAATATTAAAAGATTGTTGAATTAAAGGTATATTAATCTATTTTTAAACTCTTTCTTCTTTGTAAGAGCCTGCTGCTGGGGATCCATCTGCCGTAGACAATAGAAAACAATATATATGAATTATAATAAATTCAACCCAAATTAACTCATAATTCATTGTTTATTTTCATTTCTAAAGCTCATTTCAAATCCCAATTTTAAAATTTAAATTTATTAAACATTTCATATAAATAATAATAATAGTAATTTAAAAAATTGAAAATTGCAAAAACAATACCCGAAGGTCTCAAACTCATTGAGTGATGACTGATGTATGAAGTTTGGAAAACTTATTTACATCTCATATTATTTTTGGCTATAATATTTGATTTTGTGTTTCTAATTAATTAAGATTGGAGAAAAACAATCATTTTTTATATATTAAAGTTTGCCAGAGATGAATTATGATCTCCTGTGCCTCTCTCTCATAAGATTATGGTTGGGGATTGTGGGTTTTTGTCTACGGAAGTTCTCTCCCCTTAGGGGAGTATCTATCTCTCTTTTCAATTCATTTATCTAAAATCTACTCTTTTAAGTTTGTTTTTCTCTTTGTATTTGTTTGCAATCTATTGCATCTTTCTTTGAGGATTTTGCTTCTTTGGTTCTATTGCAATGCATCGTATCCAATATTATTGTATGGTCATCTAAAAGGAGAAAAAACAAAATATTAATTTTTGGGCACTAGCCTCCTAATTTGTAGAATAGTAATATTTGCATAGTAGTAGAGTGAAAGAGATTGTTGTTTTACCGAACAGCTTGCTCTCCTTCAAAATTGTACAATAAGTGAGATTATAAACTGAAGAGGCTTAGAAAATAATTTTTCTATACCTTATAGTCTTGTTGTTAATCTTATAATCACATTCTAGTGTTTCATGTCTAAGTGTATTATACTGAAAAGAGACTTAACTATTATATTTCGAGCTCAAGTTTAAATACGACATTCACATAGGTATTTGAAATAAGAGTAAACTAGGAACAATAACACTAAATGACATCCTATAAAAAAAATTAAAAAAAAAAAAAGACAAATAATGCTTCGTTTAGTATAGGGGTAGTTTTTGGTTTTACTTTTGATTTTCAAATTTTAAACAAGCAAAATTAACAATTAAAAATTAAAATTAAAATTTTCAACATATTAGTTTTAAAATTTTAAAATAAATATCCAAAACTTTAAATTTAATTAATTTATAGAACTTTATAATTTTATTATAAGGTTTCTAAATTTTTAAAAAAGAAAATTAAAAACTAAAAGTCACAGTGATATTAAACGGAACCTAAATTTAAATGTCTCAAAATAAGAATTAAATTTACTAAAGTTGATTGGAGGAAGTATATAAGTAGCAATTTGTAAGGTGTGATTATGGTTACACAAAAATAATTAAATCCATACAAATTTTAGTGTTTGTGTTTGAATTGACTAGTATTTTATTTGTTTATAACTTTGTTCTAATCAACTAGTTATTGTATATAATGTTAAAACATCAACTTAAAAAATTATTTTAATATGTTAAGTAATAAATATCAATAATAAATATTAATTGTTTTTAAAAATTAAATCAAATAAAATCAATATTTTCCAAAACAATAATAGTAAATTTGTGAACTCAGTAAATTCTTGTGCTTGATCATCACTACAGGCAATCTGCCACAAGATTGCGAATTCAGAATGAATTAATGAGGGAGAATTGCCTAGTCATTTCTTTCTCCAACACTGTGAATCAAAGGAATGTATGATCCAAGCAAAAGCTGTTCACACTTCACAGTTCACTGGGTTGGCATTCTGTTCAATTAATGTTGTGATTTTTTTTTTTTTTTTTGGGTTCTTGAGCCATTTCGTTCGAACACGTGAAGGCACAGTGATCAAAATTCCTGGGCCACCTATTTTCAGCCAACGTCGTATTCCTTTTCATATTTGCTAGTAATTGCTACAGATGGGTAGGGCTCACAGTCCATTGAGCAGCCTAGCTTTGGGCTCTATGTATTAATGCAAATGTGCATGAGGCCGGACTGTCTTATAGACTAGACACACTGGGCTGTGCCTATGCCAATAGGTTCTTTAGTGTAGGCTGGGTCTGAGAATTTCTTTCTTTTACCTTTTGTTTTTGGATGAATTAGAGATCTGAACTTTGAAATTTTAAGACTGTGTATGTCTTTCATACTTGGTTTACACCTTTCTCTAAAGAAGAATACAGCAAAGCCATGCAAAATTGTTAGTTCACTTGGTCCAGAAAAAGCAAAAATTGAGGCCAAAGGCATGCAGTTTGTTAGCTGTCCCAAAGGGCAAAAACCCGTTTCAACGGACCTAAAATAAAAAATTTTTAGTTGAGTTGGTAATTTGTGCTCTTCTCTTCTTGTTGAAGTAGAAATTGTCTAGGTCGGGTCGAGATTTGAGGCCGTATATTCATTAACTTTGACAATATATAAAGGCCAAGGATGTTTTCTTGAAAAAAAAAATTTTTGATACTTAAATTTGCAATAATTTTTAAATTCTAAAACAAGAAACTCTAATTAAAGAATACAAAGAGAGAAATTGAATTAGTATTATTATTTTGAATGTAATTATTGAGGGTATTTATAGGTTTTATTTATAATACCCACAACATCCAATTCCGATTAATCCATTTGTCATGAACTAAGTGCTTTCTTTTGTAAGGCTTTTTCTTATGTGACTTTAGAATTGGACGTACTATCCACTACAGGTGTTAAAGCCACTTTTCTAGCACTTCTAAGTTCCCAATTAATTTAGTGGAACTCCTCACAGCACAGGAGCTATGTAAGCGTTGTCTAAAGCCTAAACACAAAGACTAGTTCCAATAAAAAGCAGGACGTGGTGACATTAATGTAATGGCTAGCTTCCCCAAGTAGTATTCAACTGTACTCGTCTGCTAAAAAAGACCCGCCCCTAATACATCTTCTCAATCGGACAGCTGAGCAGCCATCCCCCTCTACGCAACCAAGTCGTATGGTTCTGGTTCTGGCCCACAGCGTACTGAACAGAGTAGTTGTTTATTTGGTACTTTACAGTAACTAGGTTAATATAATCTAATAACTGGAATAACCGTGTGAGCAATTGGGCATAACGTTAATTTTCCTAAATTACTCAATTCACCAAATTCATTCACCAAAATTTCAAGTATAGATGAGATTAAGTTTAATGATGAATTATACAGTAAGAAAAAAACCTTTTAAATGGGAGAATAATGAAATCAAAACTATGGCAATTTTTACCTCGGCCTTAACGTGAGCTTTTTTTTTTTTTTTTCCTCTCCTAAAATGAGATTCATAGTATGGCTTTAAAACACCCCTCTTTCTTCATTTTTTTTTTTTACTATATTCCTTCTCATTTATTTATGATTTTAACTTAGAACTTTCAATATAAAAATTTTAAACTATTAGCTATTAAGGTATCTTTTAAACAATGGTATAGATAAGATTTTTAATTAAATGATTTTATTGTTATAGGGTAGTAATTAATATGATGAATAAGGTGGAATGTTATTTTCGAAGACTCGTTGGTCATTGCAACCAACAGTTGGAAGGTACTGCGTGTATGGATTTGGTAGGTCGAAAATCAATTCATGAATTAAAATTCCCTTGGATTATTATTAGTAGTTGAGGGAGCAGCTTTTAGCTTTCCTAAGAAATGGCTATTAGGGATGGGTATGTAGGGGGGGTATGCCCTTTGCTTCATATATTGCCAGAGCTATATATATATCCTAGAAGAAAACTTTAAACCAAAGACACAAATTAATAGCCCATAAATGATAATTATTATTTGAAAAGAACCCTATGTCCGTGGTTTTAATATTATTTGGTGACTGATCCCTTGGGTTTAAGTGTACCTCCTACCTCGCATTATTTTACTTATTATCATTATTTTTTATGGACGCATTATTTTACTTATTAATCATATATTATCATCTTTTCTTTCTTAATTAGAATGCTAATCATACATCGTCTTTTTCTTAATTTCTTTTTAAAGGTTTGGCATGGGAATCTTGATCATTAGGGCCTTTTTTAACAATGATTAAGGAATTAAATAAGCCTAAAGTAATTATATTTTTTTCTCAAAAATATCTACTAAGTGTTTGGTAGATATATTCTTATTCCTTAGGAGCATATTCTAAGGAAATAATCAGTCTACATACATGTTTATCAAAGGAAAA